GCCGCCCTACCACTGGTACACATTCACGCGCCAGTGCAGCAGCAGCAGCAGCAGCAGCAGCAGCTGGCTGCCGCGCCTTGCGACTGCAGAGGACCCACTGGGAGGTAACCATTTTGGGGGTGACGGCTTCTCAGGAGCTGCTGTTTCCATTCGAGCTGCGTCTCCTCCTGTTGCTGCTGCTGCTGCTGCTGCCCCCGCTGCTGCTGCTGCGGGGAGCCATTCGAGGGCTGCTGCACGGGGGCAGGACCTTGCAGAGTTTCCAGCAGCAGCAGCAGCAGGAGGAGCAGCCCCAGCTGCAGCAGGATTTTCTGGAGGGTCTCCTCCCCCCCCAGCAGCAGCAACAGCAGAAGCAGCAGCAGCAGCAAATGCAGAAGCTGATGCCCTCTGGGTTTATTCCCTAACAGCGCAGCGGGGAATCCCCGCGGCGCTGCGGCGGATGCTGGCAGTCTGCAGGCCCAAGCAGCAACAGCAGCAGCAGCAGGGAGAGCTAGATGAGCAGCAGCAGCAGCAGCAGCAGCAGCAGCAGGAAGATGAGGGGGAGCCAGTGGTGCTGCACTGCCGCAGCTGCACCACGGGGCCGCACAACCGAGATGTCTTTCTTGCTGTTACTGGTGGGGGGGCCCTAAGCCCTCACTGGGGTGCTGCTTTTGTTGCTTCGGTGCTTAGCAGCAGCATGGGCAGCAGCAGCAGCAGCAGCACCAGCAGCACCAGCAGCAGCAGCACGGCCAACAGCATTGCGACCCTCTCTTGGCTGCAGCTGCTGGAGCTCGCGCACACCCAGACCATGTGGCCCGCGCGGGGCCCCGCGGCTCCGCTGCTGCAGCAGCCGCCCCCCAGCCCAGCAGCAGCAGCAGCAGCAGCAGCAGCAGCAGCAGATGGAGACGCAGTCGCAGAAATGTGCAGGAGGGGCCGCCCAGGGAGACAGCCAGGGAAAGGCGGAGACTTAATGGCTTTGACCCGCAGCTACAGGGGGGCCTTTTCTGTGGAGCGGTGCTGCAGCAGCATCTGGGGAGCAGCAGCAGCAGCAGCAGCAGCAGCAGGAGGCTCGCAGGCGGCGGGGAGCAGCGCTGAGACCCAGCAGCAGACACAGCCTCGCCCCAAGCAGCAGGAAGCAGCAGCGGCCAACAGTGTGCTGCGCCCCACAGCTTCTCGCGACGGCGCAGCAGCAGCAGCAGCAGCAGACGGTGGAGCGACGCGGTCTACGACGCAGAGGTCGCAGGAAGCAGCAGCAGCAGCAGCAGCAACTGCTGCTGCTGCTGCTGCTGCTGCGCGACTCAGAGCTACCTCAGCACTTGCCATTGCGGGG